ACTCTTGTGGACCAGGCTGGTCTTGAACTCACAGAGATCCATCTGCCTCTGCTTCCCGAGTGCTGGGATTAAAGGCTGCCTGGCCTGATTTTATTTATTTATTTATTTATTTATTTATTTATTTATTTTTGTATATTGGTGTTTTGCCTACATGTATGTCTGAGTGAGGGTGTCAGATTTTGGAGTTATAGACAGTAGTGGTCTGCCATGTGGGTACTGGGAGTTGAACCCGTGTCCTCTGAGAGAGCAGCCAGTACTCTTAACTGCTGAGCCATCTCTCCAGCCCCCTAATTTTATTTTTAAAATAGAATCATATTTGACAGACTATCTGGAAACTTTTGAAATAGGGTCTTGCTACACGGCCCACATGGGTTATATAGGAAAAGACAGAAGGATCAAAAATTAAAGGTCATTTTTGGCTACATAGCAATTTTGTGACTGGCCCGGGATATATGAGACCCTGTGCACTGGAGAGATGATGGCTCAGTGGCTAAGAACATGTGCTCCTCTTGCAGAGGTCCTTCAGCACTCACACTGGTTGCTCAAAAACAACTGTCATTAAAAAATAAGCCTTTAAAGAAGTCAGTAAAAATAAGAGAGCCAGGTATGTTAGAACACACTGGCGCTTAGGCAGTAGAGGATTTGAAGGCTAGGATTTGAAGGCTAGACTTGGCTACATGAGCCCCTATCTGAGAACTGACCAACTGAACATCGAGCTTCTTTCTATGTTTGCCATTCAAGGGTACAGCTGGAAACAGATTTGAAGATTGAGAAAGAATGGAGGCAGACTTTGCAAGAAGACCTTCAAAAGGAGAAAGATGTCCTATCTCATCTTAGAAATGAGACCCAACAAATCATTAGTCTTAAAAAAGTAAATAGTGGTAAAATTTTTAAATTTTATATCTTGACAAATGTTAACTCTGTTGTTGGAGATGGGGTTTCATACTATAGCCCAAACTCTCTCTGAACTGTTACATAGCAAAAGCTGGCCTTAAACTCAAGGCCATTCTGTCTCAGTCTCTGGAGTGCTGGGTTTAAGGCATTAGCCACTGTTCCCAGCCTGTGAGTTTATACAAATGATGTGTGTGTGTGTGGGGGGGGATGGCTGTCAGTAAAGAGCTTGCATCCCTGGGATTCACTGGCTGGCCAGTCTAGCCTAATTCATGAGCTCCAGGTCAATGAAAGACCCTGTCTTAAAGAGATGGTAGGCAGTCCTAAGAACAAACTAGGGCTATCTTCCAACCTCCACATGCACCTGGATACAAACACACATCTTTTAAAACAAGATACTTTACACAATTTACAGATAGATAGATAGATAGATAGATAGATAGATAGATAGATAGATAGATAGATGAGTCATTTTAGGAATATAAGGAAGGAGGTTGTGTGGGTAGTAGTTGATACATAGAGTAGCTAGGAAAAGGCTTCAGATACGTTGTTTCTTATGAAAAGATTAAGTTGGGTGTGGTGTGCACCTGTAATTCCATCACTGAGTAGGCTGTGGCAAGAGGATCAGGAGGTTGAGGCTTAGCCTAGCTTCATAATGAATTCCAGACCAGATTGAGGTATAGTCCCAGCATCCACATGGTGGCTCACAACCGTCTCTAAACTCCAGTTACAGGGTATCCAGTGCCCTCTTCTGACCTCTGGGTATCAGGCAAGCACATGGTACACATATGTACACACAGGCAAAGCATTCACACACATAAATTTTTTTAAAAAGAGAAAAATTGGGGGTGGGGGATACCTGAGAATTCAAAGCTTGACAGAATTATTCCTGTAATCCCAACACTTGGGAAATGGAAGCAGGAGCAGGACAAGGTCATGCCTCAGCCTCCTGAGAACAAAGTTCAAAGAGATTT